CGTCGTTCTGCGACCAGATGCGCCAACATCCGCTACGGTCGTCTGCATCCAATTCGCTTGTTCCATCAAAAACAGCGGATGTTGCGCGAAAATTCCGGATGCAAGAAGTGCACCTGAGGAAGATCTGTCGACTGCTCGCACCGCTTATTGGGGACCGCCAGACACGGAACTGGTCCGTGGCTGTGGAGAACAAGGTAATATTTCTTTTGTAATTGAAATTGGAGTCTTAGTGTTTCCAACTTTGTTCTTTTGACTATCGATCCCAACTTCATGAAAATTTTTGTGTTTGTGTACATCCTGCCGATGGCTCACTTGCCGAACCTAAATCAGTACGGGTTTTATTCACTTGTCACTCCATTCACTTAAGCTGGTGATTGAGTTTTGCAACTGTTCCATTCTTTCTTATCTAACGCACTTACTCTCTGGCATCATGTAAATTATGTTGCGAGCTGCAATTACAGTCACAACCTGCCCAACATCGTCATGTAATTTCAGCAAGTAAATGTCAAGCAATCTATGTGGAGTCAAAGTTATAGATTATTGCAGAGTTGTTTCAACCTTTGGCTAAAAAAACATTCTGCTTACGGAATTGACAATCCTTTCACTTTCATGCAAAGTTAGAAAAACAAAACCTTTTTTTCAAACAATGAAAATAGATTTGATAGCGTCCTGCAAGTCATTAACTCACACTGCAAATTTTCCGTGTCCACATTCTGACCATTCATGTTGACGAATTTCCGAAGCAGCGTCGATGAATAAGTTTTATTCGAATGTATCAGTTTTGAATTTCCATTTATTTTTTAGTGGATGGTCAAAATCTTGTCACATTAAGACAACACTTTCTGTTCCATCTCCCTGATTCTTTGTCACAGCTAACCCTTCCTAGATGTTTCTTTTTTCTTTTTTCCTTTCTTCCTTTCCTTTTACCAGTTTTTGAAATGCAATCCTGATTTCTAGTTTCTTAACGAAAGTGAGTTTATATACACTTCTAGCTCAAATCATAATATTGGGCAGGGCTCGGCACGAGGTGGCTTACAAGCAAGCTGGATATCGTTTTTGGGACGAAAAGCAAAGGGGGTTTCGTTTTTGTGACCCGAAGAGACACGGAAAATTGGCGACGGCGACCTTTTGTTTCTTTAGTCGACGTTTCGTTTTTTGGGGGATTTTGGGGAATTTTTCACGTTTTTAGAGGAAATTTGGTTGAGGGTCAAAGGGGACTTCGTAAAAATTCCCAAAAGTCAAGGGTGACTTCGTTTTTTCCATTTTCATCTAGCCACCTCGTGCCGAGCCCTGACATTGGGCCTTCCCAAACATTCTGTTGTTTCATTTTTGAGAATTTGTAACTTTTCGATATCTCATCGGATTTGCCTTTCTTTAGTTTTGTTAGAAAGAAAAAGTTTTTTGCTTTCGAAATTATCTTAGAGCTTTTAATAGGCTCTGACTGCAGAGATATACATGGAAGAACCATTAAAAGTTAGTTTGCCAGTGGACTGAGACGTTGCAGAGGAAAATTTTTTTAGTACTTAAGTTTTAGTATCTACTTTTTCCGAATGAGAAGAGTTTGTGCTGTTTTCGTCATCTCTGTAAGAATGTTGAACCTCGATTACTGCAGAAAACACCAAAACTAATAAATTTGGGACTTTTTTGAAAATCATAACTTTTTACAAAAGAATATTAACTTTTTTCAGCTGTAAAGAGTACGTCGATAAAGTTATGTACAAAGGAATTCAGACTTTCTGCAGCATTTCAGATTCTTGGCCAACTCAAAATGATCAAGGCTTATATGGGCTTTTTTCCATTTTATATGGCCTTCTTTTTCCAATTCTATCTCTGCAATCAGAAATTATTGAAAACTCTCTATGATAGTGTTAACAAAAAACCTGATCTTTCTAAAAAAATTACAAAGAAACAAATACGTCAAATTATCCCCAAGTTAAAATTTTTCAGAGTGAAGCTATAGAACTTTCGGGACAACCTAATGCGTTATGGGATCTATTAGGTGGGTCCGAAAGTTCGTGCCTTTTTTCTGACTTGAAAAATTGTTTAAACAGTATCCGATGCAAACTTTATCTTTCAGCAGCTATGTTTACTTTGTAGTTGCTTCGACTGGCGCTGAGATAATTGCCGAAAACTAGAATCCTTGATTTTTACCATGTCCAAGTTTCGCTAATTTTTAGAACTTTCATTTTGGGCTTTTGAAAGTGCTCTAATAACCATTTGATAGGGCAAACCTTTTTCGAATTAACGCAATTTTTGGCTCTTTCTCAGCTTCCTCTTTAGCATTTTGCTGAATTATCTAGAGCATAAAATTTTGAAAAAGTCGCGCGATACAAGATTGCACCAGACACTGCGAATTCCTCAGAATATTGAAGTTCTAAAACTTCTACGGCGTGAAATCGGACAGATTCTGAAATTTCGACTACACGCACACGTAAAATTGGAAAGTACAGCAACTATGTCTGCAAAAGTGGCAAATTTCGCGAAGGTAGCCTTCAGAAAAAGGAGAAAACGATGCACCGAATGTACCTAAGCTGTTCAATGTCTGATGTTTTGCGAAATTAGAATGAGCCAAATATAAAATTTGTTCAGTTCAAAAAAAATATTTCAATAATTCCAGAACGCATGCCAGAGACATGCAAAAAATTGCATTATTTTGAAAAAGCCCTATCAGATGGTGATTAAAGCACCATCAAAAGCCTAAAATGAAAGTTCCAAAAATTAGCGAAATTTAGATATGGCAGAAATGAAGAGTTCTAGTTTTCAACAATTATTTCAGCGTTCGTTGATACAGCCATTTCGAAAACATAGCTACTGGAAAGAGGAAGAAATTCTGCATTCTGCGGATACTGTTTGAACAATTTGTCTGTCTTTATTTTGAACGTTTTTAGAATAGGTCTGAAAATGGCAAGAACTTTCGGACCCACCTGCTATTTCATGCCGAAAATTGACTGAATCCACATTTTAAAAGAGCAAGGAGTTGGAAAGTTGCAAAACTTAGTTGTCAACATGATCTATAGCAAAGCTTCTCACAAAATTCGTTAGTGCACTCCTAACACTTTGGATCTAAGACTTTTCGAAGACAACACTCTCAGCCACTCTTTATTGGATTAATTCATACTTTCGGTTTCTGCCATCTCCTCAAGATTCAGTAACGACAGACCTCCAAGTTTTTTGGAAGACCTTGCATGCAACGCCTGCCTTCCTCTAAGTTTAGAATTTCCAAATCGAAACAACAATCGACTAATCATCAGAATGTGCTTGTAATCAGTTCTTATTTGTAAGTCAGTCACACTGCATTTTGTTAAATGATTGCGTAAAAAAGATAGCGAATAGGGGCAAAGCACTCTCAGCTTAAAAGGCATTCAAACAAATTGCTTGCATGCTCATCGCTTCCGCTTCTCCCTGTCGCTATTAATTCTGATCTTCTAAGAATACTCCTCTTTCGTTACTAACACCTAAAACTGGTCAATACAAGAGGATCCCAAAAAAACGCAGCGCCGAACTGCATTGTCATGCACATTATCAGATGCGCTCCTGATGAGCTGATCGCAAATCAACCTTCCATATCTCCTGAACGATTTTCGGAAAGAATTTAAATGTAAAAGTCAAAAGTCAAGTGTATGAATTGACTGAGAAGTGTGTACACTGAAAACCAATGTTCTTTGACCAACCGATTCTGAAGAAGTGGCGTGCAATTTTCGGAATTTGAAAAGAGACCGCTCAGCAGATAGGAATGCTAGATTTCGCTTCCATTCTATCATCAAGACGCATCTAGTGATATGTATTTCATTCCAGATCGCCGCAGCGACTTAGTATCCCTCCCTATTTGACAACTTTCCTCTAAAAAATGTGCCCAGAAAATATTTTGTTAAGTTTCCTCTGAAAAAAGAAATAGGAACACTTGCATGCTTGATCATTTCTATACTAATTTACCATCTAATGCTAGTAAAAAATTTCTTTTTTCAGGAAATCTTCACTGCATCACGCCATAAGGCCAATACTCGTAATTATGCGAGCACATAATCCGACTTATTTAGGTGGTGATCGCTTTGCGGTACCTGGCGACTAACGCCCACCAGGAAGTTCTGGCTGACACCATCGGTGTCAGCCAGAAGACGGTCTCCAATGCGGTGAGAGCAGTCGTCAAAGCACTGAACAACCCCCTAATCGTGCGGCACTTCATCCGCTGCCGATTAGGGGATGAGGAGTTTTGTCGTACGAGCGCCGCCGCCTTCGCCCGAACAGGGCCTTTCCCGAACATCATCGGCGCCGTCGACGGCAGCTGCATACGGATACAGAAGCCGGCACATTCTGGCTGGCAGTACTACTCCCGCAAGGGCTTTACAGCCCTGAATGTGCTGGCTGCTGTCGACGCCCACGGACGGTTTACGTACATAAATGCGAACTTTCCAGGGTCTGTCCACGATGCCAGCGTCTTCGCCGCTTCGCAGGTCAAATATGCCTACGAAGAAGATGCAGTTCCGCATGGCTATAGCTTCCTTGGAGATTCCGGATTCGCCAATGGGAATGATGTTATTACACCCATTAGAAATCCGACATCCAGGCAGGAGATCTCCTACAACCGATGGCACTCGAAGATGCGAGTCATCGTCGAGTGCACCTTCGGTATCTGGACGGAAGTCCTGAAGGATACGATCCGTGTGGCTCCCAAGCGTGCAGCTCAAATCATCATAGCTTGCGCAGTTCTTCACAACATGATGATGGCCATGGGATGTCTGCGTCCGAGGAGACTTGGGCGCAGGCTCTCAGTTCTCCGTCATCCGCCAGAAGACTGCGCGGACATTCGTGCCTATCTCGTTAGTTGTATGTAGTTTTTTGTTAGTGTGTTCTGTATGTTTTTTATTTTTGTTGCTGTTATAAAAGGTATTTTATGCTTGTTAAACTATTGCAACTGTTTAAAACTCATAATTTTCAATATCTTTATCAGAAAAAATTGACAACAATAACATGTAACGAACAGCAAAGTAAACGTGTGATACTTAAAGATCTGTAGATTCTACGGATTCAGCTACGTTGGGATCCCCATCACAGGGATTCCAAAGCTCTATTTGCTTTGTTGGTTTCTTCACTTCTCTTTTTCCGCGTAAGATGTGTAGGCTTTCACTAATCATTTCCTTGATTTCGCCAAGCAGTTCTAATTGCCTATCCAAAAAAAGTGATTTTTTGGCTACTAGTGCCTTTTCTTCCTAAAATGAAAAATCTTTTGCAACCTTCATGTTCAAAACAAACCCACTTTTAGAACCTCCATTTGAAACTTATTAACTTCCCTATCCGTATATTTGCGACGTTTCGGGGGCGAAATTGACGACACATCGGAATCAAACTAGAATAAAATCTATAGTGATAATCTAACGGATGCTAATACATACGTCAATGAGTTGCTCTTGTACCCGCTTGAGTCGGATGCCCTGAGTTCAGCGTCGGCTATAACCTCCGGAGAAGTGGAGTTCCCTCCCTCCCAGTCTTCCTCCTCATCCCTTCTGCCTGCACTATCCCTCCCTCCAACCCTCCGTCCTTCCGATCCCTCGATGTCAGACGGGTAAAAATCGCTTCCGCTCTGCTCCGGATGTCGCATCTGGAAAGTTTAGTTACACTAAGCTTGTTGGCACTTCGCATCATGATTACCTTTTGTATGTCCTTCCTTTTTTGCAAATCGTGTCGGTTATCATTTCCCACCCACCCTCCGTCCTCCTTCCTGCCTGCATCACCCCTTGCTTCCCTCCATCGATCGCCGCAAACCACGTTATCGCCAAAATTATCTTTGTCGCAGTATCGGTGTGACTGTTTCTAAATAGTGTGAGCATATATTGTAAGCATGTCATGTCATCGATAGATCCATACCTTACGCGTATTAAAGTCAGATTCCCCTCCCTCGCATTCCCTCTGAATCTCCCCTCGATATCCACCACCCTTTACCTGAATATGCACATTATCACACTAAACTCACAGCAAAGCAAATCTATACTTTATCCACATAGGTCTCCATGTTTCCCAGCCCAGCCATCACGGCTTCCCTCCCCAGCGTCTTCGCCAGCAATGTCTCCGCTTGGCTTAACGAAGAAAGAGTAGTTGAGATTGTTTTTTCTAGAACGGGGTCCAATCCGCCCTGTGCTGCTTCTATATCTAAAACTGTACGCTGTAATCATGCTCAATAAGTCAGCACGTCCATTCACCTTTTTTCTTTTAAAATCGCTTCCCGCACATGCGCTTTGCGATTGCTCCAAATTCTCTTTACTTGCTCTATCGTGAGCACCCTTTTACACTGCACAAGAACAAGATCCTGAATTTCTTTCCAAGCTTTTGATTTTCGCCTGTTTGCTTCAGGGTTCCTCGCTTCGTTCAAATCAAGAAGGATCCCCCTTCTCTTCAAAACTTCTTCTATGATAATGTCACTGCAGACCGATCTTTCTTCCATCATGCAATCTTTTTCAGTACACTAAAGATTCAAACATTTTATTGGTATTTACCAGTGCGTCACCTCCGCTTCGCGGAGGTTCCCTATCTATATGCCCTTATCATTTTCGTGGCTTTAAAACTCAATTCATGAAGCATCTTCACGTAAGATTGGGTAAGATGTAAGATTGAGATGGGACCTCTCAGATGCTCTTCCCTCTCCAGCGGGGATGTACGTGCATATGGGTCTAACAAGGGAAGCACTTTCATTGGCCGTGGTCTTTTATTATGAGATGCATACCATCTGAAGCAGCTTTGAACGCTGATTTCAAATCTGCTTTCCGTTTCTGCGTAGCGCTCTTTTGAAGAGAGTTATGGAAGCCTGAAAATCCTATGTTGAGGGCGCTCCTTGAGTTTGAGAGCACTGTTATGCGCCTCTGTGGTGCAGTCGTGTAATGGTTAGTTGTTGGCATTGAGGGCGAAAGGTGGTGGTTCGAATCCAATGCAGAGCGAAACATTTTGCACTTTAAAACTGAGTTACTCAGACTTTCGTTGCGTACCAGCGGCGTACCTAAATGGCTTTGCGTACCACGGGCGTGCGCTTAGCGTACCAACGGCGTTCCCTAATGCGCGTTCCATCAACCCAAGCAAGCGAGCGGCGTCCCATCACATTACCCCACGCTGTAAGCGTTAGTCGTACCCGCATGGGATACGACGCAGTGGTTGGGCCGCCGCAACATTTCAGTGGTTAGCTAACACTTCTCGGTACTTGACAAAGGAATAAGATTGAGTTGTTGTTCTTATTGAGTGACATGATAACATCTCAGCTGTGTTGTAAGGGTGGCTCACAATCTCTTGATTTGCATCTTATATCAAAAGACCGCGTCCATTGAAAGTACCTTCCTCGTAAGTCGAAAGTTGCCATAGTGTAAGGCAAAAGTTCCCATAGTGGAAGGTGCTTGTTGTACAAAGATATCGCTTTGGAAAGAAGAAGATATACCCTATATTGACATTTTGATAATAGAAATTTCTCGAGATGGAAACATACTAAGACCTATCTATCAACCTAAATATTTGGTTTACATAAACTTCACAGCTTTCCTACATCAAAAAATCTTGCAAGTACTTGATTTTCCAATAAACAAGAATGACTCAAGAATTTTGGCTTTGGAAACGGCTATAGGTTGGCTGCAACTGTGACTGAGGTTGTCAAGCTAGCATGATAGATAGCATGTAAACATAAACCTTGAGAAAAACGTGATGCCAGTGACTGCCGAATTGAGAAAAGCAGGAAAAGCTACAAACTCCTAACATGCTGATGGGATTTTCCGAGACAAAAAAAAATGAACGCACCTGTGTGGGAGGTACGCCCGGGCGCTCGTTAACTGATGAGGTTGACAGCACACAAATTTGGACACTGTCGGCACTTCAACGATTACGCAAATGACTAATAACAATTACTATTATTATTTAGCAGTAGAAGTCATTAGAACACACCTTAAAAACCGCAGATCGTAAAGTTAGTCCTTTTCGGGAGTTGAAGTCAAGAGAGTCGGATCAAATACTCGACAAGTCTGGAAAGAAAGACGATTGTAAGAATGAAAAGTGTTAGAGAAAAAAAAAGATACGCAATGAAACTGAGAATAGGTTAGGCAAAACAGCCAAAATGAAGGAGCGTATCCCAAATGAGAGAAGAAATAAGCCTGACTTAAGCGGCACGGTGAGGTTTGTTTCCTTATAAGAAAATGCCTATAGAATGCAATAGTACCTCGGAAAAATCCGACGTCAAAGCGATACGAGATTAAACGAAGAATGGTTTCTCCAAATGACTCTTGAAATCCGCCTTATAGCTTATCTTCTCCCACGTCATCAACAAAAAAGAACAAACCCTTAGCATTTCATGATCTAACAGGTTAAAGATTGAGACAATGCACACGCAGTAAGCAGCTACCGATAAAACATTCATTACGGTTTGAACCTTAGCTCTGACTGCTTTCTTTTACATGTACAACAGCTCGAAAAAAAAAAACCTCTCACAATGATATGTATGCAACTTACTTCTTAGGGACATCGCATTCATTCGCATACGCTTCTGTGGTGACTCGTCTAGAACCAAAACGCCTCTTTTAACAGCTCGCTTAGCTGCTGTCGAATTCGGCTGCATCCTAACGAGAAACTGTACAAACTGAAATGTTTCCAAATGTTTTACAAACTGAATTGTTTTCAAAATTCTTTCCCCGTGCACTCTCGCCGCCTTGTTTTCTCTGCGCCCGTACTATCTTCGCTGTACGGGACAGCGTTGCTCTCCGCGCGCAGCGAGGACGGCCTATACGTATTTTCTAAAGAAAATCAGGAACTCTACAGGTTGGGAGGGACCAGACAAATTTGGGGACCCAAACTTCTTATAAGGATACGACGAGAAGAATGAACTAAGCCACCTTAAGCAGTAGCTCTTACGAAATCCCTTGCAATGGCCGAAAAATATACCTCCGAATTCTCACCCACTACCGTATCACAGCATAGTGGTCCACTCAGAAAGAACGGTATTGGGCAAAAATTGTGATTTAGTTCTAGTTTCTTGGCCAGAGTAATTCATATAAGCTCCCGTTCAAACAGTGGCTCGGTTACGAAATCTTCACATGAAAAGTTTGAGTACCAAATTGACTGGTATAGCTATGAAAGTCAGTGTAAAAAAAGCATAGAAAAATTTCAGAATAAAAAAAATGACAAACTTGATGGGCAAAGAGGATGAATCTTACCTTTAATCTTTCGAAAGCAGCTTTCTCAAGTTCTTGTTGCTTGGAAGGATGAGCAATCTTGATCAACTCGTAAGCTCTTTGTCGCATGTTCTTTCCCCATAGTTGAGCAATACCGTATTCAGTCACAACGTAATGCACATGAGAGCGTGTAGTCACAACACCAGCACCCTATAATTACACAATTAACTCATTACAAGGAAGCTGACGGTACTATTGCCAACCTCGTTGATATATGGCACAATCTTGCTAATTCCTTTCTTTGACATGGCTGGAAGTGCAATAATTGGCTTGCCGAGTCCATCATCGGAAAGAGCGGCTCCTCGGATGAAGTCTACCTGTCCACCGAAACCGGACAAGAAACGCTTGCCGACGGAATCCGCAACAACTGCAAATGAAGGATTTTGAAAAATCATGAAAATAAAATTACGTAAACTCTGATTTCAATACTTTTCTTCTGCCGTACAGGTTGTTATAGGTGACACTTTATTGCCCAACGTTTCGGCACAACGCCGTCGTCAGAGGCTTAAAAGGAGTCAGTCACTTCGATTCACGATCTTAGTCGCCAAACATCTCCTCCCACTCGGCCATTCGAATGGTCTTTAGTGGAAGCAGGAGGTCTGCGAGTAGAGTTTGACTCACCAGAGTGCCACCGTGATTTGTAGCAGTATCAGCTGCTTTATATGTGCTTGGACCGACTGCGGTGTTGAGTATAGACAGTCGTGTCAACTGACTGCGATGTTGAGAATAAGCAGTCGCGATGTCAACGAACTGCTTAAATAGGACAAATGACAAATGATCTTATAGTTTGCAATATGTCAGATACGGCATTAGATCTCCAGTTATAGATAATTGTTCATTCTTGTTGTTGATCTTGGGGTCACGGACAAGAATGTAGGACGCTTCGAGGGCCTTTCTAGCGGAGATATGGTTCTCGTAGGCCAAAATTATGCACTTAATGTCGAAATCGGTACCGCTATGATCTATCTTTCTATGCTTTCCTAGCGGACTCATTACGTTCTGCCGCTTTTTGCTAGCCAAATGCTCGTTTACGCGCACGCACAGTGGTCTACCTGTTTCAACGATGTATATGGCAAAGCACGCTAAGCATTCTATTTGATACACAACGCCAGACTTCGAACAGTCTCCAGCCTTCCCATAAGGGCAGATTATGCAATTTCGCGTGACACAAGTCCTGTCATAAATTGATTACGTACCAGTTGTGTTTTGATGTTGTCTCGGGGAATATTTACCAAGACAATTTCGTTCTCCAACTGTGCTCGTATCAAGCATTGTCTTATCGCAGTACTGACCTTTTCGGAGATGTAAGGGAGGCACAGAGGTATTTTGTTCATGTTCTGTTCACTCGCCTTTGCTGATGTTTTCTTTGTTCGTCTAGGGCGCATAGTATAACCATTTGCAGTCATTATTTCAGCTGCCATCCTCAGTGATTCCTGTTTTTCCTTTTCGCCGCTACAGATGTTGACTGCCGTTTTGATCATATTCCGGATTATGGCGCGTTTCACGGCTGTCGGGTGCGCGGATTGTGCATGCAGAAGAATATTCTTACTGCTCTCTTTTCTGTACCATTTGACCTGTACCGTGTCATTTACCACCATCAGCTGCGCATTCAGGAACGGTAGCCAACCGTTGCATGGCTTCTCCCGCGTGAAGCTTATGTACTGAGATTGTTGATTCAATAGTCTAAAACACTCGTCCATTTCGGACTGTGTTGAAGTAATGATACAACAATCGTCGATGTATCGACAGTACATAAGCGGACTTCTCGATAGCACAGGTTGTTCAATTCTGCTCATGAAGCAGATTGCTAAGACGGGTGCCAATCGTTGGCCCATTGCCAAACCTCTAACTTGTGCATAGTGTTGGCCCGACCACTTGAAAATATTACAACGCAAGCATTCCTTAATGAGTGTTATGACGCGTGCTTTGCTGAGAGTGTACATCGTTATAGTTTTACTATGCAGTTCCAACATCTCAGAAAGCGCTTGCAATGCGTCTTCATTGGCTACATTGGTATACAATGAAGTTACGTCAAACGACTCAACTACGCATTCTTGACTGAAATTTGTCTGACGTAGAAGCTCAAGGAAATGATTGGTATTGGTCAAATGGGCGGGTATCTTGTCTAAAAGTTGGCTCACGATTTTGTTAAGGAACCATGATATACGGTCGGTTGGACCGTTGACGCAGCTGATGATGGGCCGGATCTTGTAAGACGTGGCTGTGACGGATTGCATGTCGAACTGTCTTCTTATTCATTACGAATAAGAAGTTAGGATCAACATGCTGTTTATCGGAAGATCATCCCAAAATACGAGCTCTCTACATGAAAATTCTCAACGTGGTGATCAAGGAAAAACAACACATGTTTTACTCGAATCTGTTGAAGAGTACTCTGCGTTGATACCACTGCTT